GTTACCCGAAGCAACTGGTTCGTGATGGGTCACCAGGGAGTGGACAAATGACTCGTCACTGGCTGGTCGGCTAGTGGCTTGTCAGTGTTTACTTACTTGAATAGCCCTCCCAGACTCATCACTAACCGGTCATGGCCGGCCCGTCAGTGATGAACGCTACCACTGACGGGCCGCCTTGAGCCGTCATTGTTGAAGAGATTTGCAGGACTGGCGATTTGTAGTAGGGAGTCACCAACATGATGATCAGATAGCAGATAGCAGCAATATCCACCATGAAGGAAAAAGTAAAACCAGGAAAAGGCTTGCCAAATAGGGGAAGGGCAGCAGCAGCTGGCATCCAGAAGACCAGAACAACTTCAACAGAACCCCAAACCACCCTAACAGCGAGGCAGGTAAAAAAAAGAGATGTCTAGCAGTTTCAGTTCGATCATTGCCAGTCCAATTCGGCTTATGCATATTTTCTCTAGTAAGCATCGAGTCTTTAGAGGCATTTTCGTACGCCAGATCCATCTATAATGAGATCCTGCAGCATCTATACATAGACGGAGAAAAAGAAGGGGAAAAAAATGCTACTGATACTTGGACTTAGACAGTAGTGAGTAGTGTCAGGTTCATCAGGAAAATTCCTGGAAGTAGAATGATAAAAAATTAATGCCATTCAATTATTCCAATAGTCATCAGGAAAATTCCTGGAAGTCAAGTGATCGACAATCAACGCCATTCCATAATTCCAATAGCCACCAGGAAAATTCCTGGAAGTCAAATGATCAACGATTAAGGCCATTCCCTTATTCCACTGGTCATCAGGAAAATTCCTGGAAGGCAAATGATCAGCAATGCCATTCCATACCATATTGTTTCAATAGTCATCAGGAAAATTCCTCGAAGACAAGAGCGCCATTCCTCTGTTCCAACAGTTCAGCTCCAAGGTGACGCCTGAAAGGGATGTTCGGGCTGCAATTCATGCGACCTGTAATGGTACATTTTTGTTTTTGACAAATGTCAGAATGCACATGAATTTTTCGAAGAAACTTTCCTAGTAGCAAAATCTACATCCGTAAATTTAAGAAAGGATTTGAACTTATGCATGCAGGTTTTCATAAGTTGCTACAACTGCACAACTGCAGTTCACATCCTTAAAAGGATTACTGCCTTAGTTCAGAGCGAAACACTGAAACCACATTAAAGGGATACAGCATTTCATAACTTGACCAACAATGATTCTATGCAACATTCCGAGAAGTTTCATAATAAGCCAACTTAGTTGAAGTTTTCCATCAACAAAAGTCAAGCATGATTACAACTTGGTACTCTGATAAGGAAACCTAATAAGAAGTTATAAACTGATCTCTACACCAGCTTCTTCCAATTATTGCTGAAGCACACTGATACTATGAACAAACACTCTCTCTTTGCACCTTCTCAAATTCTTCGGCAACAAGGAGAAAACCAGAGCAGCATATCATCTCAGAATGACGCCTGCTTCATGAAAATTAAGACTTCTACACCCATTTCTTCAGCAGCTAAGCAAGCGAAACCAGATCAAATATCTATCATCAGCCATGGGAACCTAGCTATATATGCCGACCAGGCGACTTCAGCGGTCGCTGTTTCCTTCTAGATAATGGGAGCTTTACTCGCTTCGGTTATCTTACCAACATAACATATATACTTTCCATCCTACTCTACTATGATCTCAGGTAGTTTCAACATGCTGTGGCTGCAGCAGCTGCGCGCCCTAGTCCTGCAACACCTGCGGACTATTCCGGTACGACCAACCGGCCAGCTTGAACAAACTTCTTTGCCCTTGCTTTCACATCCCTTGCTGCTCACCGTACTGTGACAGTTTCCCCTGCTGCAATCTGTCGGAGCCGGGACGTGATCCTTGACCTTCAGGTGATGCCCACACGCTTCCTCTTTGTGCTCTTTGATGCACTGGATCTCCTGCTCATGGTGATCAGGCAATGCGCTCTCGATAGATATCGACAGCTCTGGAACTGGATCAGCCGCACTGTCGTCATGCTTATGGCCATGGCAGGAATGCGCATCTGCGACATGCACTGTTTGCTCTTCATCACAGCAATGATGCTCATGGTTCTGGTCGTGGCAAGCATGCTCAGTGGCACAAAGCAAGCTGATTGGTTCTTCACAGTGCTTGTGATCATGGCAATCATGCTCATCGGCAGAATGTGAACTGTTGGGTTCTTGGTGGTGGTTATGTTCATGGTCATGGCAATCATGCTTGTTCGCAGTGGGGTGAGGGTTGCAGATGTTGTGGGTATGGGCATGACCATGGGAAACATGCTTGCTTGTGACCATCTGGCTGCTCGTCTCTTTGCAGTGGCTATGGCCATGTCCATGATCATGGCAGCCATGCTTGTCTGTGGAATGCAGGTTGCTCGGCTCTTTGTGGTGGTCATGCTCATGGTGATGATCATGGCAGCCATGCTTGCCTGTGGAATGCAGGTTGCTAGGCTCTTTGTGGTGATCATGCTCATGGTGATGATCATGGCAAGAAGAATGCTTACCTGCAGATACATGCTCATGGTGGTGACCATCGGAGCAGTGGTGGGAAGTACCATGCCCATGCTTCCTTGAGTGAGAAGAAGCACAGGATTTCTTCGCCACCTTTCCACTGCCTTTCTCCCTCAGTAGCAGCATGCTGTACATGATCACCAACAAGCATGTGCCAACATCAGCAAGGACTGCTGCCCAAATAAGCGGATGCCCTGCAAACGCAAGTGCAACAATTGCAAGCTTCGTAGTCACCGAGAAGACAATGTTCACGACGATGGTCCGGTGTGTCCTCCTGGCCAGCTTGATTGCCTTTGGGATCCTGCGGATGTCATTCGACATCAGAGTAATGTGACTCGTCTCCATTGCGACAGCTGAACCGGACACGCCCATGGAGACTCCAACATCAGCCTTAGCCAATGCCGGGGCATCATTCATGCCGTCGCCAATCATCAGTGTAGGGCCATCTCCTGCCTTCAGTTCATCTACAATTCTCACTTTGTCTTCAGGCAGAAGTTCAGAGTGAACCTCAGCCAGGATGTTCCCCAGCTGCCACAAAAGGTAAAGAAACAGCAAAATCAGAAGGTGTTGCATTTGTATCCACTAGAGAAAGGAAAATACAAAACAATAAGATCCACCTATTCTCCAGAAGAAAAAGAAGAAATCATTACCTGGTTCTGTGCATATGTGGCAGCGGCAGTACTATCGCCAGTAAGCATCACTGACTTGATGCCCAGTGATCTCAACTCCTTGATGGCCTCGGCTGCCCCAGTTCGGCAAGAATCCGAGAGGCTGAATACCCCAATCAATTCCTTGTTGCAGGCCACATATCCGATGGTAACTCCTTTCATGTGTTCTACTATGTCCGGAACTAGAACAAAAAAAGTTGCACATGATCAGTTAACAGCTCAAGATTTCAACAGAAAACTGTGTTTCGATTGAACAAAATAGAAGAATGAAGCAAAATATCCTGCAAATAGCGCTAATTTCAGTAACTTCATGCATGGGTAGGTTTATCTCTTACTAAACAGAAAGTTCAATGGTAAATAGCAAAAGAATGTTGCCAACATTGAATATGTAAATGCTGAGTTCAGATTTCACCAACCTGTTTGACACGATGCCCTTGCCAAGATCCTTTTGTTCCCAACATATACGCCCTCTCCATCAATTTCACCGTAAATCCCCTCGCCAGGATAGATTTGAAACTCAGCAACATTTTCTGATTTTGGCTCTACAGAGTTTGATTGAGCATAACCAACAAGAGCAGATGCCATTGGGTGGCTCGACCTGCTCTCGATGCTTGAAACCCTGCAACAATCATGAAATTAAAATACTACAGGAAGATCGAAGCACATAATGTCTTTGAAGAACTTTGAACATTCTGATATGGAAGCCACACTCACCAGTAAACAAGTTGTTGCTTCGAAACACGCTCACCAACTGTCTGAAACTCCTCGACAGAGAACTCTCCCCTAGTGATTGTACCAGTCTTGTCGAAGGCAGCAACTTTGATACTGGCCAAGGACTCAAGGACATCCCCTCCTTTGATGAGGAGCCCCGTCCTCGCGGCCCTCAGTAGCGCGCAGAAGGTTGCCACGGGTGTGGACAGCACCAGAGCGCATGGACAGGCACTCACCAGGAGAACTAGGGCCAGTTCAAACCAGTGTCTTAGGTTGCGTGCTTTGACACACACAGGGATCACTGCCACTGCGGCAGACATGAAAATAACAGCTGCGAGGTGCAACCAAAGATCACAGTAAGTAAAACAAATCCGATCCGAAATTGTCCATGACTTAATTTTCGCTACAGGCATAGTCTCTTCCATCTGGCTTACCGGGTGTGTAGTACTTGGCGCAAGTGTCGATCAACCTCTGCGTACTGGATCGACTGTTTTGGGCTTCTTCAACGAGCCTTGCCATTTTGGCCAC